ACTGATGGTGATTTTGTCTATTATTATTATTATTATTATTATTATTATTATTATTATTATTATTATTTATTCAGCTCACTAAAAATGGCTAATGACCAAGGAATCATGCATTCCCCCCTTGCCCCCCCACAAAAGCTTTACTCCAGAGTCTTCTGGAGAGGGCAGCCATAACAAATCTAATAAATGAAATTACATCACATTACTTAAAAAGCATTAAATGTTTAAAGAACATTTTAATTCTTAATTAAACATACTGACTTACCCTAGGTTCTCGTTCAGTCCTAGTGGGATTTTTACGCCCTGCGTTAATGATCCGTTGAATGACTGGCTGATTAACTAAACTAGCCTTTCCCCTACCAGCCGCTTTCCAGGGTGGTACTACAAGCCCCATCATCCTCAGCAAGGCCACCCAGGTGGGAATTGTAATCCAAGATGTTTGGAGGGCAAGAGAAGGGGAAAAGAAAGGCTTGTGTAGGGTTTTCTGATCCGTTAATTCCAATCGCCCTCCTCTCAAGAGGAAAATCGGAGGGTCAAAAGCCAACGTTGGTTTGCACAAGGACAGCAAATATAATTGTATGGGGGGAAGATACAAGAGGAAAGCCAGCGAAAATCCTCTTTTTTTTAAATGGAAAAAACAGGAGATGACAACGAGGGTGATGAGGGTTTGAGAGTGGGCTGGGCTTTAATTTAATTTAATTTAATTTAATTTAATTTAATTTAATTAATTGTGTTAAGCATTCACAGCCTGAGACGTTTGATAATATACTGCCAATTTGGCTGCAGTTTAAAAAGTGCCTACCTTCTTCTCCTGGGGAGCAATGATGCTGTAAATACCTGTGGGGCAGAGCAAAAGAGGAAAAACTCTGTTGGAGAAGAGGATTTGGCAGCTTCCTCCGAAACCTGCCAGAAATGTCTGTTTCTCTTCTGCTGCCCGGCCAGTTGGTCAGCGGGTGGCGCAGCCTTACCCAGGAATTTCACAAGGATGGAGTGCGGGTATCTCTCCATGTGGTCGAGGTATTTGGGGAGGTTGGTGAGGAGGAACCTGATCTCGCGCTTCCGTTGTGACTTCAGGAAATAACGCTTATCGAACCTGCCAAGGAGAGAAGAAATGCCTAAGGCAAGATAGATGGGGTGGGAGACCGAGGGCAGGTCCCCATCTTCCCCTCTTTCCCCGAAGGACCGCTGCCTTACGTGAGGAAGAAGTCCGCACTGCTTTTGGAGTTACTGATGAATTGCAGATAGGAGCTCTCGCACGACAAGGACCTTTGGAAATCGGTATCTGACATGCCAAGGTATTGCCGGAAACGGGCAAAGACGGGAGCTGCGTAGGTCCTCATCTCGTAACCCTGCAGAAGAATGGAGCTGGGGAATCATGCCAAGAGCCAGACAGAGAAAAGATCATCGGAAGAGACCTGGGCTTCAGTTCCCTCCCCAGGTTGGAGAACCAATTCCCTGCTTGAATCTTGCCAAGTCATCTAGACGCTTGGTTTCAAGGGCAGCTTGGCCATTGCTTGAGTTGGGGCACGCTTCATTCTGCTTCTCGTATTGATAGGATAAGAAGGAATATAAATTTGGCTGCGCCTACCTCATGGATCTGCTTAAGCACCCTGGTAAAATCGGACGGATTTAGGGACTCCTAGAGAAGAGAGAGGAAGTCATGGGGTTGGAAGAACATCCATTCCTATCTGATCCTCTGAACAACCATGGACACCCAACATCTTTTAGGGATCCTCTGATACAGGCTGCCCAAGAAGTCTGTTATATGGAAAGGATGGAAAAATAAACTCCATATTCTTCCTGGAACTCACCTTGCCCACTGGGTCATCAATGGTGATCTGAATGGAGGCCTTCAGCCCTTGTTTCAGCCTACACGCCAGTACAAAAAACTCATGTTTCTCATTGATTTCAAAGAAGCCCAGCAACTTCCATTGCTGGCGGATTCGCCAGAGCATCCGGTGATTCCTTTGGTACGAGACATTAGGCTGCAAGGGAGAAGGAGGGGAAGCTTAGCCATGCAGAGAGGCAGGGGGTTCAAGAGAGAGGCACGCTCCCAGTTCAGAGAGGCAATGGTGCAGGGCGAGAGGGCTGAATAGAAGATTCTTATGGATACCTTCAACTGCAGTGTTGAAGACATGATGCCAGAAGGCCAGGGGAACCACTGGGAAAAATCACCCAGTGATCACTTGATGGTTCTTGTCTCCCTAGAAACTATGGAACCCTTTGGGGATTCCTAGTGGGACAACTCAGTGGGTGTTTAACCGTCAGTCAATGAACCTGCTGAGATTCCATCACCAGAGCCCCCAGAGCGGTTGGCAGATCCAACCCAATAGACTGGTTTCAACCTTGGCGGCCCCCTTCTAAAGAAGGAGTTCGCCTGGGGAACACATTGCTGCAGGAGGAGATGGTGGCTCTTAGCTTTAAAGGGCCTTCGTGGAGGTCTATTAAGAGCGCTCAGTCTTGAAGGCCCAAGGCTACTTCTAGAGTGGGGAGGGCAGCCAATATCAGTTGCAGGGAAACATGGACAGCTGTACAGGATGGTGGAGCAAACGGGTGAAGAATGCAAGAACCATCAGCCGAAGTGTTAAGAGATAAGGAAGGAGAAAGTAAATAACCGCTCGGTCCTGGGAATGGAGGGAGCGTGAGAAAGAGACTCAAAATAACCCCACCTTGATCCTGTTGGGTATAAGAGGGAGCAGAGAGAAACCTAACCACAGTCACTTCTAACTTGGAGAAGAAAGATCCTGGACAAGGGTCCAGGGACTTACCTCCATGGTTGGTTGCAACAAGGAAATCAAATTCTGATCAACAAGGAAGCACAACGTTCTTTTCTTGCACTCTCTGTCCTTGGCCCCACACATTTATTCTGCTTGGTTTATCTTCTTTTTCCAGTTTCCATCCTTTGTTTTTAGATCTACCCCTATGGAACAGCAGGGAGGAAATGTTCCATGAATAAACATATTCCAACGAATTGCAAGACGCAAAGCTTTGGCCCCGTTCTTATTGCAGAAATACGTGGAGCAAGTGTGTATATATGGGGGAAAATGGGCTAATCCTATTTGATTTTTTTCCCTAAAAAAAGGGGTGGTGGTGGTATTTCAACCACAGAAGGCCGGACATCTGGAGGTCAAAAAACATGTTGAGGTGTGACTTCCATGGGGAAACAACCTCATATAGACAATGGAACTTATTTCTCACTTACCCAGAAGAGTCCATAACAGCCCAGCCAAAATATCCCCAGGCAGGTATCGAAGGGAGCTGAGATTGGCCAAGAAACAGCTGGTAAATCAATCTATTCTAACTGGGAACAAAGAACTTTCTCATCTCCACCCAAGTTTCAAAGTTTAGTTACAGGAAGGTGGGAAGGGAAGGAGCCGGGAAAGCATCTTGGGGTTCCTCAAAATGTATCCGGAGTTTCTCTTGGTTCATTTCTCTTGGTTCCTTCCCCCACCCTACCCATTAGGCCTGCGTCCCCCCAGCTCACCTGGGACCACCTCCATCTTTTTTCTGGGAAACCAAGACAAGAAACTTCATCCCCAAAGCAGTGGGAGACTACTTGCTGAACTTTGGGGGAGAGTCAACCCATCTGCAACTTGCAACCATCTGGTGCTTCGTCTACCAGATCGGAAATCGCAGAGTGACCCGCCTGGACCACATCGCTTCGCTGCACTGTGGGCAGCCAGATGCCCGGAGACGTTTGTGGCATCAGGTTTTTGCAGCAATGCAGGGACAGGAGAGAAACAGCCCGGAGCAAGTGGTTTGGCTGGAAATATCTGTCCGTCAGTTCAGTTTGGTTCTGCCCATTGGATCCAAAGAGAAAAGGGGACGGGGAGAACTTACCAAGCGGGAGGAGGGTCAAAATTCCCCCCTTCAGTCTTAGATCTCTGAACACCAACCTTGCAGGAGGAGAGAAAACGTAAGCAAGTTGCAGGGAGGTTGAAAGGATGCCCAAACCCCAGAAGGCAGATCGAGCCACGCGGAGGGAGGATGTGGGAACGATGCCAGGTTAAACGGCTTGTCTAAGTCGAGCCTTTCCTGCCGGGTGTTTAGGCGGCAGATGTCCAGATTTGAACCCAGGATCTTCTTGTACAAAATAGAGGTGCCGACCCTTATTTGTGGTCCTTTCCCTGATCCAACTGTTAACGTCAATTTCACACCCCATGATAAACCCGGGTTAAGAAAAGGCCTCTCCTTTGATTGATGTCGCATGTATCCAACTGAACTCTTTGTGGCTTACAGCGATGGCTGTTTTCATCTCCATTCGAGGCTTGAATGATAAACCACTTAATCCTATTTTCACCTCATTTAGTGTGTGGTGTGAAGCCAGCTTTCTTTTTTAATTCGTTGGGGGAAAGAAGGTTCTGTATGCAGCTTAACGAGCTTGCCTCTGGATAAATTCCAGCAAGAACATTCAAATACTTCTCTACTAAGAGAAAGCTTGGCTTAAATCCATTTAAATGCATGGAATACTCTAATACAGCGGTGTCTTGCTAGCAAAACTCTAATCTCATTGCCCTGCAGCCCCCCAATATCATTTTTACAACCTTTCCAGTTTTTTGTTTCAAGTTGTTTCCTTCCTGCTTTACTTTGCAGAATCAGGTTCTGTTTTCTTAAGGAATCATTTTCCTTCTTAACAGGGCAGAATTCTGCCTGCTTGGTGTCCATAAGGACCAGAAACTTATTTGGTAAAATGCAAATGGACTGATGACGGAGACCTGGAATATCCCACCCAAACCTACACACCCCTTTCATTCTCAAACAAAGAGCAGAGAGGCACATGGGAGCACAACAGGCAGAAAAACGAATCAACACAAGTAAAATTTTTATTATCAGGCCTCTTAGCAGAACCAGGTCCAGAAGGGAGAAAGCTGAGGTTTGAATACTGAGGAATGAAATCTGTGTCTATATTGCAGAAAGCGAGATCACGAAATGTTTTGTTGGAGGAGAACATCTGAACAGGGGCCCCCTTTTGTGGCCCTGGGCACCTTTCTGTATTTCAGAATCTGTCTGAACTATTAATGCAAATGCACAAACATTAATCCACCTTACTTTGCTTGTTTTGGGGCAGAGAATTAAAGAAATGATGGGAGAGAGATACCGTAGCGCAGCATCGCACAACGTCTTTATCGGCTTGGCGACTCCCGGATTCCTCCAGAAGACAACTTCTCTGAGCTGAGATTTATCCAGGACACCAGCAGGGGGTGCTTGCGAGCCGAAAAGAAACTTTGGAACAAGTCTTTTGAAGTTTTTTTTAAATCATTTTTAGGGGAAAGGAACGGACCATATTTTTAATCACATTTTAACTGTGTAACAAAGCCGAGACAAGAATGCGTCTCTCCCCATGCTGGAAAACAGCAGGGCAACCTTGAAAGGATGATGTTCTTCTCTAACATCCCTTATGCTCAACTGGTGCTCATACGAAGAAGAAAAACACAGTCCAGAAACTCAAAGCAGGACAAAGCCAGAAGAGAGATGCAGGAGAAAAGCAGGATTAAAAAAAAACAAAAAACCAGTACAACGGGGCTGGTAAAATTCAGTCCTAGTAGAATTTCCAGGCTAAATTTGGACCCTAAAAGGAGATCAGGTGAAACCGCAGCTCTGTGACTTCAGATTCAGCCGTGCGCATATTTGGGATCCCTCCAGGAGAAACAGCATTGAATCTCTTTGGTTCACAACTTGGAAACTGTCCAAGGTCTGGGGTGGGATGACGGGCTGACCCTTGGCTTCCAAAACAACTTTCCAGGGTCTGCCAATTGCTGAACAGTTCCCCCAAACCCTGCCCCGTGAGCTTCTCCTCCATCCTCTTCCCCTTCCCCTCTCTTCAGGCAGACTTTTTTGCAGATTTCTGATTCTTCCACATCACAACGGCTATAAAAGTTCCTAATGAGGCACAGAGAGAAAGAGCAAACTTTTAGCAGCCTGGCCCAGGCAACGGGGAACAGAGGGGTTGCAAGAAAGTGGTAATTTGCTGCAGCTCTTCCAATCTGCGTACTGAATCATGCAACTCTAGCGGGCCAGGATTTGAGATCATCTGGCCCAACCCTCTGCGAAGGGCAGGGCAGCTAATGAAACTATCCTCCAGAGAAAACCTCTAGAGATGGCGAGCCTGCAAACGCCACACTGAAGGGCTGTGGTTTTCTAAAAGAGAAGAAACACATTTTTCCAACCTGGTTACTATCCTCTTGCTACTGAGCAAAAGGCCACCCACTAACACACTAACAGAGAACATCCTGTCTCCTGTCACAATCATCCTGATCTGCATTTTAGCTCAGAGCAGCCAGACTAGTCTTGGTAGTGGTGTCGAGAAACGAGCCCCCAAACACTTGAATCTATTTTCCTGCAGTAGTTGGAGGGGGGAGGACTCCGAAATCAAAACCAAGATTAGGCTGGGATTTTGGTCGGCGTCCTTTTTTCCATAAAGAAAGAATATTGTCAGTTGTTCCCTCCTGTGCAGGAACACAAGTGAAAAAGAAAGGCATTCCAGGTCTCCTTTTATGCCAGTTCTGCAATGAGAAAGGCACTCAAAATTCAGAGGTGGGTCACTGAGAAAAAGGGGACGCTTAATGAAAACTCAGACGGAGAGGAACTGCTGTCCAGGCCCTGGGACAGTAAGGCTGGATCCTGGGGATTGAAGAGGTGAATGGGTGGAGTTATGGATTGGGGCCTGATATTCTTTTTTTTCTTCTCCTTTCCTTCTTTTTTTTTTCACGTTGGTTTCACGGTTTGGGGTTTTCTCACTGTTGTTAGCCGCCCAGAGTTGCGCGCTGCAAGACGGGCGGCTAGACAAACCTTTTAAATGAATAAATCACTTATGAAAAGTTGAGCGGGTCAGGGAAACGAGACAGAAGCTGGCAAGGAAGAGGGTCTAGCCAGGCTGTGGAGCATTTCCAACGGCTTCCTATCCTCTTCCAAGCCCCCGGTTCTTCAGCAGCCCCAGAGCTGTGATGAGACTCACCCACGAAGAGCAGCAGGAGCAGGCCGGCCACCACAGGAATGATCACGGAATATTCTCGTGGCAGGAAGTACTTGTGGATCAGGTGGTCGCTCTCAATGAAGGGCTGCGGAGGAAGAGAGAAAGCGTCTGCAGGGAGCAGAGGAGAACCTTCCCGCGGGTCCCAGAAAGAGAGAAACTTCTCTTAACATGCCTTCTGCAGATAACGGGGTTTGCAGTTGGGGCTTCTTGAAAAGACCTCCCATTGGGTGGATTTATACAGGATGCAAAGCTCTTTATCATGCTTTAAAACCACCCATCGCCTACTTCAGTTAGTTGGGGCTTCGCTACCTGGTCGATCCTCACACCTCAAAACAGAGCTAGGATGGATCGGAAGCTATTGCTGCGTGAGAAGGGCTAAACAGATTCAAACCTCAAGATATTTGCTGGGGGATTGGAAGACACTTTCAACCTCCAGAATATTCAGGCAGCCAAATTCTTTCTAAAATCCTAGCTGCGCCTCTCGCTTGCAAGCACCATGTGTTCAAAAGCCACCTGCCAGGGATGTTTCATGGGGATTAAGGTCGGCGGATTAGGACTCCGGTTCAAATCCCTACTTAACTGGCTGACCTCCAGAAGTTTTGGACTACCAATCCTATAAACTTCAAGCCCTGGTCAGGCTGAGTTGTGGGACTCCTGGGTGCGCTAGCCCCAAATAGGTGAAGGGGAATCGGGTTGTTCATCGCTGTTTAAGAGGAAAGGAAAAATACTCATGCAGTAAATGTTCAAGTTCTCTGGAAAAGGAAAAAAATGTCGGGAAAGGTGGAAGGAAGGAGAAGAAGAGGAGAACCAGGAGCCAGGTGGAGGGACTGATGGGGGCACCGTTGGAGACCTGAAAGAACAGGTTAGGGATAGATGAATAGAGAAAAATCTATTTATGTGGTTGCTAGGAGTAGAAAACAACTTGATGGTACATAATCCATCCATCAAACGCTCGAGAAAACTCAGGACGTACCAGTACAATAATCCAGATGGTATAGTAGACAAAGAGAACGAGACTGAAGGTCACCAAGCCATACCCAACGAGTTGGTCCCCCACCGTGGCCTGAAAACCGAAAAAAAGCAGAAGAAACGTTTATTTCACTCCTGACCAAAATAGACAGGAAAGCTAAGAATATACCTAGATCTTGGGGCTCTGTTAAATAGGCACGACTAATTCTAAAAAGGGGTGAGCAAGCAGTGGCCGGCAGCTATAGCCATTGCCTTAAATGACCAGCCTGTTCCACCATAAGAATCTGAAGAAGCGCTCATTTAGAAGCCACAGAAAGGCTTGCTAGGTCCGAGCCCGGGGTCGGGAGCCCGCAGAGGACATCTGCCTTGGCCCAGGGCGATGCCTTCCTCCTCCCACTTGGGCTTCAGTTCCTGTTCCTATTCCTCCCAGAGTCGCTTAGAGGGGACGGGTGGCCATGCATATCGAAATAATAATAATAATAATAATAATAATAATAATAATAATAATAATAATAATACACATCTACCTATCCCAGGTCCTTGGGAAGGACTCGATGGGTGGATAAAAATACCAAATCCAGCCTAAACATCTGGCTGACTGTGCGGCCAACCGTAATAATAATAATAATAATAATAATAA